AAAATATATCAATTTAATCTATGGTGTCTGCAAAAAGAGGACAAGAGTATATTTATTATGTCTCTAAGAGAAAAGTATAGACAAACCTGGTGGCAGGGATGTGCCTCATCGACTATGTGAACAACAAGTAAACTTCCTTTTTTAGTTGCTTTTATCAGAGATGACGAAAGCCGGAAATGATAAAAGTGATTGGCTGAATGCAACGGATTTATGAGATTATCATTCTATCAGCCTCAGCAACTAGATGCAGAAGAAAAAGATCTCAAGCGATGAGCCTTGGCGTTTAACGAAACAGGAGAAGAGCTATTTTATTAGTTTTTCAAAATATATGCCCAAGCTATTATCCCGATTTGAATTGACGTGAATAGGGAATTTAAATGTAATTTTCTCCAAATCAAGAGGATTCAACTTGCGTCATTTCATAAAGTCAAAGCAACTTTGAATTTTAACAAGCAGACTGTAAATAAATGTAAAAACAAAATCATGGCCCAGACTAACTCCTGTTCGCTCTTAGCCATGTAAAATGTAATAAAGAAAAGAGAAAACACCCAGATAAACTCATGTGCTTAGATAGGATGAAGCTATTTGGAGGCAATATGTATAGTTTTACCATTTGCAAATGCAAAGCAAAGAAATTCGAGGTTGCCTTTCGAAGGCCTGCCTCAGAAAATGCCCGTTCATGATCCCATTCGTCTGTGAGATTTGTATAGCCGACAAAAAGCAGTCGTGTTTCTATTTCTACTTCCAAGGATGCCTACATACCCTTAAAGATAATGTCCTTCGCTTGTGCAAAGACTGTACCTAAATGCCTCAAAGACAAAATCCACCAAATTCCGATTGGTAATCTGGCCAATTTATCCTGAATATAAAGATAAAAAGCGTAGCTTTCGATATAGAGAGATGGCCTGAAAACAGTACCCTTTTATTTCCCAAAAAGCAACAATTTGAAGAGGTGCTAATATGTACCAAAATGTTCTTAGATTTTTCCTTCCTCTTCGTTCAAATTTACTTTTCTAAGAAAGTAACAGTGTAAGTGCAAATAAATTTAAATTCTACTATATTGAGGCATCTAAATAATGAGAAGAAGAACCCCAAAAGCATCTTTAAACGTAATTTTAAGAGTTTGATAGAGTTAATTTGACAGATAGCTCATCGCAAATGGCTTGACAAGACCTCAGTCAAAAGTCCACCAAATTTTTAAAAAGAACTTGAGAATGCACCATAGTTGGTGAATGTGCTATCTCTTCCAGATATTGTGCTATCTAATAAGTATTTGTTTATTTACTAGAAATGATTACTCATGAGCTGGCGAAAAAAGGCAGTATCAAGAGGGACCTGGGATCCTAGATGCAAAAAAATTCTCATGCCTGACTAGACACGTCCTTAATATATTTTTATCTTTATTTGGACAAAGATCACTTAAGAAATGGGCTGAAAGTTAGTATAATTAGTTCTTTGGTTTCCCAGCATTGGTAAGTAAATCGTAGATATGAAGGCCAAGATTGTGTAGTCTTTTGTTAGTCATATTCTCTTTTAGCTGTATAGTGTTTGTTTGATCTCGTTTTCGCAATTTTCTAGGACA